AGGGTTGAGGCTTTGGGGGACTCTTTTGGAGCGATGCATACGGGCTGCTCAGACAGGTGGTCCTTGTTCATGGACAATTTAGGGTTAAGGGTTAGGGTTTAGGGTTTATGTTCTAGGGTGCGGGAGTTCAGGGTTTTGAACTTGAGTGGCCGGACACGCTCATTCCACACCAGGCCGCCTTTCTTTGTCGGCCCACAGCACGCCGCAGTCGTGGTCTCCCCTCTGCTTCACACCTGGGAGCGGTGCTCGTCAAGGATGTTGCGTGTTTATGGAGCGCTGTCGGGGGAGGAGCTGGCTTCCCTTTACGTGGAAGAAGTGGCGGACGTGCGAGAAGTTAAGTACCGGTTGCGCTGGCTCTACGGCTTTCCGGTATGTCTTCAACAGCTGCTGTATTACGGCAGCCGCTTGCATGATCTTGCCAAAATAGAGCGGCCAATCGACGTGCAGCTGGTGATGACTGGATGCGACATTGCCGGTGCACGCAGCGCTGAAATCGAAGCTGAGCTGCTACTTGCGGCGCAGCACGGGCTAGCCTTGGCCGTCCGCTTTCTTCTCGACACTGGGGTTGACGTGGACGCGGCCGGGTTTCTCGGATATACGCCTCTGATCTGGGCGTCTCGCAACGGGCATGATGAGGTGGTCCGCTTGCTGCTTGAGGCCGATGCAAGCATCGACAACCAGACCGCAGAAGCCGAAATCACAGCCCTCTACTCGGCCGCCAACGAAGGGCACACTGAGGCCACCCGCGTGCTTCTCGAGGCTGGGGCGAACACTGAACTCGCTGACACCGCCAACAACACAGCTCTTCTTCGCGCGTCTCGCAAGGGTCATGTGGAAGTTGTGCGTCTGCTTTTGGCAGCCGGTGCCGATACGGACCGACGAGCGCGAGGCACCCTAGTCACAGCCCTGATGTACGCGTCCTTCTATGGCCACGCTGAAGTTGTGCGGTTGCTTCTTGCAGCTGGGGCTGACAAGAACTTGGCTGATCGCGGTGGGAACACGGCACTTTCTTTCGCAGCTCAAGAAGGTCACACAAGGGTGGCGCAGATGCTGAAGAGTGCCACTGCTGCCTAGTGTAGTGCGGTAGTGCGGCTTCAGCCCATGAGATCTGGTGCTGCCTGAGGTCAAAAGGATTTCAGGTTTTGGGGCTTCGGGTCCCAAACCCTGAGCCCCTCCTCTGCACCCGGAAAGGCAAAACCCTCAACTCCTCAAGCCATTGAACTTCCTTGAATAATGGAGCCAACAATGAGCAACACTAGGATCCTGAATTAAGTTGAAGCCCTTAAATCATAAACCAGTCACTAAACCTCAGGTTTCCAACCTTTTGTTCAAAAGCCTTTCCTTCACCAAACATACGGGGGTTTACGAAAACAAGGGAGCCCTAATATAGACCCCCAATTAGTAGGATGCCCTCCTAGTAAGGACCCAGTACGGTAACCCTAAACCCTAAACCCTAAACCCTAAACCCTAAACCCTAAACCCCAATTTCGGAAATCCCCCATATGCTGCGCCTGGCACGTTCCTCGACGATTGTGGAGCCCTCCCAGTGGCCACACTGCCAAGCTGTAGGCAAGAACCCGTGTCGCAGCAATGGCCAGAGGGCGGTTGTCATGTAGCTCTAAACCCTAAACCCAAAACCCTAAACCCTAAACCCTAAACCCGACACCCCCAACCCAGCAACAAACCCCCAAACGCCCTCAGGCGCCAACTCTCGCAGCCTTGGTGGACGCCGCCGTAGGTTTCGCCCTGCCTGGGATTCAGGGTTTGGGGTTTTGGGTTTAGGGCTAGGGTTTAGGGTTTGGGGTTTAGGGTTTGGGGTTTAGGGTTTAGGGTTTGGGGTTTGGGGTTTATATAGGGTTTGGGGTTTGGGGTTTAGGGTTTGGGGTTTTTATAGGGTTTGGGGTCCGGGGTTTGGGGTCTAGGGCTCCATTGGCTTCCAGGGTTTAGGGTTGAACTTAGGCTTCAAGGTGTCGAGCCCAGTGGCCAGGGTTTAGGGTTTGGAGTTCACCCTGTGGTTCAGGGTTTAGGGTTTAGGGTTTGGGGTTTAGGGTTAAGGGTTCTAGAATTTAGGATACAAAGAAAGAGCTGGCAGCTACGGGAAATTCCATGTTGCGTGGCCCGCCTCTCACGGGTAAGACTTGCAAGTTTACGTTGTCTGTGCGGCTTGGGCCTCTGGCGACAACTCCAACACCCTCAAAAGCCGAAACCTGCCTAAACTCCAATGCTGGGTCGTTCTGAGTAGGGCGCCTAGAGAATGTCGGATTCAATTGAGGCCTGAACGGGCTTTCGACAGGCGACATCATGCAATGCCACGCCTTGACTTCCCCTAAACCCCACACCCTATCCGAGCGCCCTAATCCCTAAACCTTTCCTAAAACCCTTCAAGGTCCAGAGCTAAAGGGGTTATAACCCCAAACCCTAAAGCATAAACCCCTATCCCAACACCCTAAACCCTATACACCGAGCCCTAGACCTCAACTTGCGAAGCCTCTACCCTAAGCCCCTCAACGCTATACCCGAAAGACCCGATAAGCCCGAGACCGAAACCTTTTGCAAACCCTAAACCCTAAACCCTAAACCCTAAACCCTAAACCCTAAACCCTAAACCCTAAACCCTAAGCCGGCAAGCGCGCTGAACCCACCTGTCGGAAAGTTGTTCCTGCGCTGCAGTTTCTACCAGCCTTAAGGGGCCGACTCAAGGGTGTGCAGGGTTTTAAAAGCGTTTTTTTTACAGCTTTATTTAGGGCTTAATTAGGGTTTAGGGTTTAGGGTGTTTCGGCTTCTAGGGGTACTTAGAACATGGTGCACATATTCATATTTATATAGGAACTGTCCAGTACTCGTATCGTAGATGCATGTTGCTTGTGGCCACTACCCGCCTTATATGGCATCCAAAGCCCTGAGTTCTACAACCCTGCGTAAGAAACCCCATGGGCCCCCCACCCCCCGAAGAAGCTCAGTGTGATTCAGGGGCTGGGGCAGGGTTGGCGCCCGAATTCAAGCTGTTAATTGCATCGTGCCCGCCCTCTCATGGACAACGCCTGTGAGCTCCCTTCCCAGCAGGCGGGGAGCTTCGGCTAAGGAAGGGCAGGATTCAGGATCCAGGATTCAGGGTATGTTGCGGGCTTTTTGGGAATGTGGGAACTTACGGCGCCCTGACCCCCAAAATCGTTTCCTCTTAGATTCGGCTATACCGGCTCAGGCCGGCTTAGGGCTGAGGGTTGACGAGCTTGGGGCCTATCTCCCGAAACCCTAGATCCGTGAAACCGATATATGTGTATATATATATATACACGCACATATATACATATATATATATATATGTAAATAAATATATAAATAAATATATATATATATATATATATAGATACATACATATATATATATATGCACCATATACCCCTATAACCCCCCCCCCAACCCCCCCCCCAAAAAAAAAAAAAAAACCCTCATGAAGTCCTGTGCGCGTGGTTGTCGAGCCATTGCAGGAGTCCCGCTTCTTTGGAATCTTGCATTTGTGTGCAGGGTTTATAGCTTTCACGGGACTCTTTAAAATTGCATAAGGTTTAGTGGTTTTTGGGTTCAGGGTTTAGGGTTTTGGGTACTCCCCTAAACCCTAAACCCTAAACCCTAAACCCTAAACCCTACACCTAAACCCTAAACCCTCACCCCGCAACCCTCAACCCTTGTAGGCTCAGAAGACCCAACACTTTTGGCACCCAGAGCCCTTGAGCCCGGAAGCCTCTGCTTGTAAACCCCCCAAAACTGTGGTGAACCCTGAGCCCGAACTCACAGACCCTGCATCCTGAACCCCAAACCCTAAAAGGGTTTAGGGTTTCGGGTCTCGGGTCTCGGGTCTCGGGTTTAGGGTAACCCTACAAACCCTAAACCCGAAAGCTTTCGGGTCGTGGAGGGTTTGCGCTGCAGGGCAGCTCGTCTTGATGCACGCCGAGCAGGGAGGCGAGCAACAGGGGGCCCCGAAGCCTTCTGAAGGAGCCCTAAACCCCAAAAAAAGCCCTACAATCCCCTAAACCCGAAACCCCATAAACCCTTAAAAAACCCTATAAACTCCATAAACCCTATAACCCCTCATACTGGCCTTGGGGTATAGCATGTTTCGATTGGGTCTAGGAGGACGATGGTTTAGTAAATATTTCTCAGGGGGCTTAAAGCTTAAAGGCGCCAACCTAAATTAGGGTTCACGGGGGTGTAGGTTTTAGGTTCAAGGGTTTCAGGCTTCAGGATACAATAAGCCCTAAGGGATTTGGGAAATACTGTTCCAACTCTTCGGGTTTGCTTGAGCATTACAAAGTGCACCCACTCAGGTTTCCCTGGCTCCCCTACCTCTTCCTTTCCCTCTTGCCCCCCATGAAGCTCGAGTCTGTAGTCGGTCCTCTAACTTCTGGTCCTTTCTCCAACTGAGCCAATAGATGGCCGGTTTTTCTTGCAGAAGTGAGCTCTTGGGCCGCAGTACGGCCCCGTTTGGAGAACCGGCCCATGTGCTGAGATGGGTGTTTAGTTTAGGGTTTAGGGTTTAGGATTTAGGTTTTAGGGTTCAGGGTTTAGGGTTTAGGGTTTAGGTTTGGCGCAACCTGACCACAGGGAAGATATAGCTCCCACAGGCTCCTAGGCAGCATAGAATTCAGGCACCCTAAACCCTGCAATCGTCATCGGGGTACTACAAGGACATTATTTCGAGGATTGTTATGGGGTGCAGACTAACCAAGTAAATCAGCTGGCTTAGGTTTCGGACTGCTTTGGTGTATAGGGTGCTTTGCAAGCCTGATAAGTCCTACACCCTAAAGCCCTAAACCCTAAGCCCTAAACCCTAAACCCTAAACCCTAAACCCTAAACCCTAAACCCTAAACCCTAAACCCTAAACCCTAAACCCTAAACCCTAAACCCTAAACCCTAAACCCTGAACCCAAACCCTAAAGAGAGTCCTGGGAAAAAAGGGCTTGCAGAGTTGGCCAGAGCATGCGGCAATGTCTTCCGGGAGGCATCTTTGGCCACGCGACCTCCTGCTTCCCAGATCAGAGGCCTCTTGGGGGGTTTGGGTTTAGGGTTTAGGGTTTAGGGTTTAGGGTTTAGGGTTTAGGGTTTAGGGTTTAGGGTTTAGGGTTTAGGGTTTAGGGTTTAGGGTTTAGGGTTTACGGTGTAGGGGTTTAGGGTTCAGGGTTCAGCGTTTTCGGGTTCAGGGTTTACGGTGTAGGGTTCCCTGCTTCCCAGATCAGAGGCCTCAGCCCTTCGAGGGCCCTGATTGGTGGTTTCTTCAGGGTTTAGGGTTTGGGGTTTAGGGTTTGGGGTTTAGGGTTTGGGGTTGTTTGGGCTGAAGATCAGAGGCCTCTTGGGGGGGTTTAGGGTTTAGAGGGTTTAGGGCTTATGGTTTAGGAGGTGTGTTTTGTTTAGCGTTTAGGTCTTAGGGTTGAAAGTTTAGGATTTAGGAGGTTTAGGCCGTTTATTGTTTAGGGCTTCGGTTTCAGGGTTTTGGGTTTAGGAGGTTCAGGGCATTATTGTTTAGGGTTTAGATTTCAGGGTTTTGGGTTTTGGGTTTAGGGGGTTTAGGGCGTAACCCTAAACCCTAAACCCATCAGCCCCAGAACCTCAAGTCCTTCTAGGGGAGCTTGGGATCTATAGGGTTTAGACGGGTTCCCCAGTTCGGGACCCGTGTTGTACCCTAAGAGGGACCATGTGACTACCCCAAAACAAACTGAACCCTAAAACCTGAACTCTAACTAAACCCTGAACCCCAAACCCTACAGACCCTAAATCCTAAACCCGAACCCCCCCCCCCCCTAAAACCCTACAGACTTTTGGAGGGGGCACCGGTGTCTCAGGTGGTCTCTGCCATTTCTCCTACGCGCGGCTGCTCGAGGCCGCCTTGCAAGAAGAGAAAGTCAAGTAGGGTAGGTATGGGCTGAACTGGCAACAGCCTTCTTGTGCGGAAATTATGTAGCCTTGTCTTGGCCCTAGTGCCACTCTTGAATTCAAGGACCAGCCTAGGCCCCTAAACCCGAAACCTCGAACCCTGGTGAGCCCGGTGCTGAAAGGGACTCACGGTCAGGACCCCAGCTGTTCATCGCTTATCTCCGTGTGCAACTCATGAACCTCCCGCTGGTCGTATGACTGTCAGGAGTCCATGACATGCCCTTGGCTATGCGTGGCTATTGCCCAAACTCTGTATTGACCTGCAAAATCTTGGCTCCAGAAGGCGTCACGAGTTCCTGGCACACTGCTGCACAAGACTTCTCGGCCGACGGCTTGGCAGCGATGGTGCACGCGCGGCGCTCGAAGGCTCGGGTCATGGTGGCCACCATGCTGGCGGTGGTCGCACCACTCATTTTCCAAGGAGGCCCGTGCTTTTCGCGGGTTCAGGTCTAGCACTATACCAACAAGGAGGGCCATGATGGCATCGTGAAGAGCGGTGCCATCCGGCCTTCGGAGATCAAGCAGGGAGATGCCTGCTATGGGAGCGGCGTGTACTGCACGAAGCTCCCGCCAAGCACGCCCTTCTACAAGGTTCTTACCAACAACTATGACATGGACGGCGGCGTCAACAACAGGGGAACGGACAAGGGGGACAGAGCCAATTTCGTCGTGTGCTTCAGGGTCGGGCTGAATGACGCCACCGTCATCAATGACACGGCCGGAAGATCCGTCCTTACGATTGGTGGTGGCCAGAATGTCAGCTTAGATGCATCTGAGGATCATGGCCCTGCGCAGGATGTTGCCAAGCGAGGAGGCCAGTGAAAAGTTCGTGAAAGCAAGATGGGACATTCTTTGCAAAGGGATTGATCCACTTCCGAGTGACCTTTACTACTGGAAGCTGGATTTCTGGCACATGGACAAGCTCAATTATGCCAATGCCTTGAAGCGCAAAGACATCTTCTGCGTCAAAGCTGTCACGGCAGACAAATTGGCGGGAGAGTTAGCGTGGCTGAAGAAGTCGGATGAGTGGACTCCCACAGACGATGGCAACCTCCGCTTTCGCGGCAGGTCTGGGTCACTAACGGCAGGTGAGAGATCCTCCGTTGGCTTTGACAAAGTCATGGTGATGCTTTGGTGGACTAGGAAGAACTTCCGAAGTCAATGTCAGGGGTGCTTGCTTCACGGTGACATTGACGTAGTTGAAGCGGCCCTAGCCAAGAAGCAAAAACAGTGGTCCAAGCTTTTGGCCGAGCTCGATTCGCTCGCACCAGAAGGCAAAGAGGTAAATTTTCTTCGGACATGGTTGAAAACCATCACCGAAAAAAGCGGTTGAGTTTGTTTGGCCGTCGCCATGAGCCCTTTGGGGCTCATGGAGGTGGAGCGGCGCACCTGTTTACAGCAGGACATGGTGCGAAACAGCCGGCGCCTTGGTCGGGAGAGCTCTTCCAAAGTGACCAACTCACGGGGGTCTTTTAGAAAATAGCTGATGGGGCAGGAACATGTACATGTGCGTTTGTGTGTTTTTTTTTCCAAATGTTGTTGCCCACATATTATACCTATGTATCGGTTTTGCTTTCATGTATTCACTGGTTTATGTGTATACAGATTTGCTACCCAAGTTCGCTGTTTTCGGGCCACGTAGAAGGTTGAAGTCTATTCGGGCAAAAGGCCATTCGTTCGAAAGCATGACCGGCCTTTCTGACCGCACCTCGGCTAGCATCCGCCGAAGTGCACCCGAATGAAGCTCCCATAGTGATGGATAGCGTGTAATATGTAGTCGGGAAAGCAAATATAGTAATACCCTACATCCGCATCGATATTACAAGAGTTCCGGAAGCGTCATTCCTCCATCTTGGCCTACAGTAAATTGCTTGAACCTCTGACTCCCCCAGTCCCTATGAACACAAACATCTTGAATCCCCAGCCCAATATGTGCTATCCCTCATCCTCCTGGAGCCATTTTTCCAACCCTATAGCATCTCTAACTCCTAGACCCTAAATCCCAAGCCCTACACCTAAACTTTATAACCCCCTGAACAAGCCTAAATGCAAACCTAACAGCCCTACAGAAACTCTTTTAAAGCTAAAAGCCGAAAACGCCGAAACAAACCTTACTAAGGCCTAAGCAAACAGATTTAAACACAACACATAAACACCCAAAGCCCCCGGTTCCTTTCGTCGTGATGCCAGGCCGCCCTCCAGGCGTCGCCAAGGCATTGGCCCTGGGATTCCCAAACACCAAACTACGGGGTTTGGGGTTTAGGGTTTAGGGTTTAGGGTTTAGGGGTTTAGGGGTTTAGGGGTTTAGGGGTTTAGAGGTTTAGGAATTAGGGGTTAGGGGTTTAGGGTTTTAGTGTTTAGGGTTCAGGGTCTAGTAGGGTTTAGGGCGGATACCTTAAGTGAACTCAGGTTTCGGGTTTTGGAAGATACTCTGCAAGTGAAAAAAGGGATCTGTGTTTGTTTGTCCGAGTCTTCACATCTTTGTTTTGGCGTCTTAATGCGGATTCACAAAGTTTCCATTCATTGGTACTAGGCTGAGATCCCAAAACCTAAGGCATCAAACCCCACAAAGCCTGAAGCCTAAATCCGACATATCTTATACCAGCATGACGTAGATAAGAAATAGCATCGCTGGGGGTTGGTATGGACCAACCCACCAGCAAATTCAGGCCCCCAAAACCCTAAACCGCCTAAACCCTTGCTGCCGGGCATAGAAACTCCGGGCAGATTCGATCCTACAGGAGTTGGGTGCTGAGTTAGAAAACCCTATTCAGGACATACAAAATTTGGAGCCGCAACTCAACCTAAGCATGGCATTCTAGGGCCTCATCGGGGTTGGTTTGGAAATGGTTGACTGTTCGTTTTCTGCGGGGCTTAAATCCCCTCGAAGCAAATCTACTCCAGTGCAGGGGTGGTAGCCTTCATCAAAACCCTTGTAACAGTCCTTCAGCTGTAGCAGTAACAACCACTCCTAGCCCCTCAACCTCCCCCATACTACCCTCAACCCAAAACCCTAAACCCATTCAAGCCTCACGAGTCCTTGCAGCTGTTCCTCCAGGCATGGCAGGAGGATGAGATCAACACAGATAACGAGCAAGAGCTGCATCTTGCTCTGCATACTATGGGTGTCGGAAAGAAGTACTAGTAGTATTCCCTTACGGTGCCTACATATGGTGGTGTCCGAAATTAAGGGTACCTGATTGAGGTCCTTATTATAAAGGAATATGTGGGGGGTCTTTTAGGGGTCCCCTATTTTCTGTCGGAAGGCCCCGTATCATTATACTAGAACCCCCCCCCCCAAAAAAAAAAAAAACTATTCTAATTATCAAGGCCCCTATATGACAGAGTCCGGGTGGTCACTCCGGGGTTGATAAGTTTTCTGCTCAGGATTTGGGTTTGTTTTAGGGTTTCGGGTTAAGGGCTTAGGTTTCTTTTTGGCGACCCCAAAACCCTACTAAACCCCGCCCCAATCGGAGCCCTCAACAACCCAAGGCGCCCCATGATCCTCAGGCCCGAGTGCCCTCTCTTAAATATATTAAGGTAGACTGAACCTACATATTTTGGAAGCAAAAGCCTCAAGCCCACGTTGTCCTAGATTCCTGCAGCTCTCCCCCACCTTTCTCCCCGAAAACCAACGCAAACGATGCGTCGGTTCTGGGAGGATAAACCCGAGACCCTAAAACCTGAACCCTAAACCCTCAACCGCTCAAACCCTGAACCCTAAACCCTCAGCCGCTCAAACCCTATGTAAATCCGAGCCCCAGGGCCCCAAGCAGCATTCGAGAGGACCCTCAATAAACCCTTAACCCTAAACCCTGAACCCCAAACCCTGAACCTTAAACTTAAACCCTAAACCAAAAACCCTAAACCCTAAACCCTGAACACGAAACCCAAAACCGCTCAAGCCCTCCATCCCAGGCTGCAGAGAGACGAGCGTGAGGAGGAAATCAACACAGCGCCCTGGACGCCTTTGTCTTGGGGACAACTTAACTTAGTTAGGGTTTAGGCTTTAGGCTTTAGCTTTAGGCTTTAGGCTTTAGGCTTTAGGCTTTAGGCTTTAGGCTTTAGGCTTTAGGCTTTAGGCTTTAGGCTTTAGGCTTTAGGCTTTAGGCTTTAGGCTTTAGGGTTTAGGGTTTAGGGTTTAGGGTTTAGGGGGAGGGCCTGTACAGTATACCTCTTCAGGGTTTAAGGCTTTTTAGGGCTCAGGATTCTAGGGGTTAGAGTAGTATTGGATTGCGAGGTCCTAAGGGCATCTCAGTCCCTAAACAACCCTAAGACCCTGAAATCTAGGGGAGGAGTGGATCAATTCCGTGTACGGGCAATTATCAGGGTTTTGGGGTATGAGGGTGTTAGGGTAGCAGGGAATTAGGACGTTAGCTGCCCCGGGAAATGTCGACACGCACGTTGTCACGAACAAGCTATGGGGGTCTGAGTTGAAGTCCCATTTTGGTGGGTTCTCCCTAAACCCCCCCATCCTAATTACTCGGATGCTGAGGGTACCCAAGAAGGGACGATGCTTCCGGCCATCTGGCTAGATGATAAGACGAGGGCGTCCAAGACCTTGTCTTGAGGGCTCGTGCGCTGAAGCTTCGTTTCCGACGACAGCTTCACTAAACCCTAAACCCTAAACACTAAACTCTGAACCCTGAACCCATAACCCATAACCCATAACCAATTAACCCTTAACCCTGAACCCTGAACCCTGAACCCTGAACCCTAAGGGGTTGTTTTGTGGGTTTTGGGAAGCAAGTCCAGAAGCCCCCCGAGCCCAGAAGCCCCAGTCGCAAAGCCCAGGACAATGAGCAGGAGTTGCTCCAGCTCCATGAGATCCAGAGCCCAGAGCCCATAAGGCCTTCGGGTCCCAGAGCTTCTTGGGAAGAGGGTTTAGGGCTGTTTTTAGAGTGCGGGGTTTAGGGTCTTAGGGTTTAGGGTTTACTGAAGGTCTTCAGGGGAGGGCGGGGGGGGCGCTTGAGGCCTAGCCTAAACCCGAAACTCCCCCTAAAACAGGCCAAACCCCGCAAAACCCTGCAAACCTCCTTATGTACATGTGCATATATATATATATATATATATACAACTTGTTATACACATTTTTTATTTATATATATATAAAGGACATGTTGCAAACATCAAGAAGCAAAAGTAATCACATATATATATATATACACATATATATATATATATGTAAACATTTTAAACTGTTGAGCCCCCCCCCGGCCTTGGAGGCCTGTGCGACTCCCCGGGCTTCCGTGGGATCTGGTGGCCTTTGCCGAGGGCCTCTGCTGCCCAGAAAGGTTGAGAGGGGCGGTTTAGGGTTTAGGGTTTAGGGTTCAGGGTTTAGGGTTTAGGGTTTAGGGTTTAGGGTTTAGGGGTTTAGGGATTAGGGAAGCTTAGGGTTTAGGGTTCAGGGTTTAGAGCTTAGGGTTCATGGTTTAGGGTTTAGGGTTTAGGGCCTGTTGGGGCTTAGTGGTTTGGGGCTTTAGGGTTTCAAGGTTTAGGCCTTTTAGGGGCTCTAGGGTTTTGAGGGTTTTTTAGGTTCTGGAAGGTTTAGGGCTTTAGGGGTTTAGGGTCTAGAGGTTTCGGGTTTATTGGGTTAAGAGGGAAGCTTGAGGGATTCAGGTCTAGTGGCATACGGAGCTGGTGAGAAACGGTGGAAGTGTGGAAGGACTCCTACTGAGACGCTTCTCTAACTGGCCGTATACAGGTTGCCCCAGATACATGAGGAGTTCTCTAAATTAGGTTCCCGTTTTGGCTCCATATTTACATATATTTTTATATGTATATATGTATAGAGGTGTATATATATATATATATATATATATATATATATATATATATTGTACGGCACCTCATAAACTGGATACCCCGCCAAAAGGGACCCCAACTTAGAGAACTACCCACAGAATTTCCTCAACCATCCCAATCACAAGTGGTTGAGAAGTCACATGAGGCGGCAGATAGGGACGGACGGATAGGGTGTGAAGCTAAGAGTTTTTGAAAGCTACTTGGGGTCTAGGCTTAGGGTACATTCAGAAATTGCATAAAGCCTAAACCCAAAATCGGAAACCCCGAGCCCATACTTGATTACAAGACATGGTTGCCCACTGGACAGGGTACTCTTTCACTCTCAGGCTGCTTTGGAAACCACGAAACACCAGAAGCCCTAAACCGTAAACTTACAAAACCTTACAAGCTGTACAACCCTCAACCCTAACAGCCATAAATCCTCTAAGCCCCAAGCCCTGGAAATGAACCCCGAACCCTATAAGCTCCACAAGCCCTAAACCCGAAAAGCCTGTTCCCTAAGGGTTCATGTACCCATATAGTATATAT